AAACTGCAAAAAAAAAAAACCCTTTACAAATATGTGTAGATCATATGCAGAAGTTCCATGTGGTTTCATCTTCAAATCTTTGCGAAAGGTATTCATTTTTATTTTTTTTTTCAAACTTCAACAAGGCCTCATTCTAATGGAATTCAAATTGTTTTTGTTTCCAGTTGTTGTTCCAAGATTGCAACTTTTTTGTTTTATACAGTGGTCTATATTACGCACATAGTGTGCTTTTTCGATATTTCTCCTCGGCTTTGGAATATTTTTCGATAACATATGCGAGGACTTGTTGCTAGAAAGCGATTTACTAATTTTGGGCGGTCTGAGCTGAACAGGGCCTCTCGTTTCAGCTTTCAGCAGCGAACCAAAGGCCCTGAGCAGCTGCAAGACAGCCTTACCTGGGCCTTACATGGGTTGGCGCCACATGGATGCCAAGCCGCAACGCTACCAGCTACTGCTGCCAGGGCCTTCGTTCACTGCCCAATGCCAAGTGCCCGCCCACTGCCCGCCCATTGCCGCCCCACGCCACGAACACACCGCGCATCAATCATCAATTTACTACATTCGCTACAGGCTAGATTTCATTATATTATTTATTATATTCGATACAGACACGTCTAGATAAGTTACATAGGAAGACCTACAGCATCTGGAACTGCTAATATGGTATAAATAAGAAAATTAGAGCACACCATCCCGACCTGATAAAATTAGTATAAATGTAAAAATGTGGCCAGTGGATCTTACATACACATTAAGGTAGTTTACAGGCTAAGTGAATTACAGTCCTACATAGATGAGGCAGTTATTCGTTAGTATACTAGAATGTATATGATAGGTATGTGTGGCCGTATTGCTAGTTTGAGCAAGTCCAGATTCACCTTCACCAATCAAACGCGATAAATTGACACGGATGTGTAGGGTTGTGCAAGTGGGCTTATTAGTGACTTACTGGTGGCGGGTTTGGACCTGGGCCAGAGGGGTAGGACCGTCCTATGACAGCCTGGCTCTCTGGATAGGCCATGTCGGCCATTGGAATATCTTCATTCTGAAACAAAAATTCAATCATTCAGTAACTCAATTCGAGAGTTGTACCTTTTGATTTCATGACAGATCTGTTTGAAAAATTAATGATGAATCGTGAATCTAATGATTCATTTGTTTTTAGTGGAGCTCAACGCAAAATTCACTTAGTAAAAGGCAAAGTTTGGAAAAGGATGTATTCAAAATGTCAATAAAAAAAATATTAACCCATGTGAACAATTCTATATCATTCAGTAAATTTGTGATTGTTTTTAGGGTTTCTCATTATTTTATTATGCTTGTTATTATTCAACTTGGTGAAACCAGAACCCCGAAAACAGAGCATTCATAACCCAGCTCCAAATAACCCTGTTTCAACATGCCATAGGCCTTATAGGTGGCAGTAAGCTGTACCACAAATGCATTGTTGGGCTCATCTGTTCTTAAAGGACAAAAATGAACAGGAAAAGGCAATGGCATCTACCTTTACAAAGACGATATATATGGGATTGACAGAAGACTAAAACTAAAACTCCCAATGATGAATCAGGATCTCAAAGGTGATTAGTTGCAAAGCCAAGCTTTTACATCAACCGCCGAAATAGATTAGTCCTTTGTCTTTCTCTGCAAATTCACTGCAAGGCAACTAGTTAAAATCCGAGCCCCAAACCAAAGCGTCGAAATCCAACACCAGACAGTATTGTTTTGACCCTTCATAGGTCTCATCAGTGTTACTAGGTTGGACTCAAATGTCCTTGAAGAACAATTTTATAAAATTTTTAGTACGTCCATCAAAAACTCTTGACATGGTCTACAAATAACTAAATTGTGATTAAAACACATCACTATTAATCAGAAAAATATCCATATTCTTCACATTTATTTTGATCCTCTTGGTCTAGGTATGCCAGATCATGAGCAATTACTTTTAACAACTCTCAGGTTATCGACACCAAATATGAATTTTCTTGAATGACAGTTATGAAAATTCAATAATCATATATTAGTTGAATATAACTTTCTGAAGTTGTATGCCTGATATACTTACCCTTTGGAAGACACCTGTACTTCTAGTACCTGGGCCAGTACGTTTCATAGTCCTATCTTCATACCTCGTTCCACTTTGCGATGCCATAGGGCGATTCAACGTACTGTTTGCGTTGTTTGGTGAATTAGGTCCGGCATTACGAGCTGCTACAGTCTTTGTTACAAAATCTTGTTCTTTCCAACCATGCTTTTTATACACATCTCTCAGATCTTGATGCTGCCACATCGTGAATAAAACTTGCCCTGCAAATTTTAGTACCCTCGGAGTATATTTCTGTCGTTGCCTAGTAATTGTCATCAGTCTTTCTACACCACCAGCTTCCAGAAGAGATCTAGAAAACTCTGCATTTTTCTTTATGACTTCATTCAAAGTCGCCAATACTGCTGCTATTGTATCATCTGAAGTGCCTTGATCATGTTGCGGATTTCCTGAAGGAAGTTTTTGAACAAGATCTCTCATGGCATATTTTCCAATCAGTTCTTTATTTCGCTGATCAATTGCTAAGTTTCTGAGAGCCGTGGCTACTGCACATACCACCCTGTCTACTTCCATTCTAAGGAGTTCTACCAGAATTGGAAGACCTTTCTCTTTGCGAACAGCAGCGCGAATTTCTATACTAGGCTGCCAGTAACAAGCTGCTAAATTTTGAAGGGCTCCAGCTGCCGCCTCCAATGTTTCAGGGTTTGAACAACTTTGCAAGAGAGCCAAATATGATTGTACAACTTCAGGCTGCCAGAGAAGCTCCATGCCTCGTACTGGCTCCCCTCTGGAAGCTGCACTAGAAGTTCCACTGGTACCTCCAGATGCAAAATTACTGTCTTTTGTTTCCGAAGACTGAGATTCCTTTTTCTTCTTGCTACCACCAAAACAACCCAAATTTTCACCTACAACATATGATAAGAAAATGAATCTCAAAAATTATTATATTCCAAATGTTACCTTTTGAAGATGTAGCAGCAACTCTACTTTGTGTCGGCAAGGGGTTCTTGTCGTAATTTGGATCTTCTACTTCCTGACATCGATATGACAAGTTACGTAAAATGCATACACAATTCTCGACAATTTTATTGCCTATGTTCGATTTATCTATGGCACAGCGAACAACAAATAACAGTGCATCAACTAAGCCATCGCATTCCCTCAATTTCTTTCTGGCATATTCGCCAGCTGAGCTGACATTTCTGAGCACACCCGATGCGTTTCTGAACACTGTTGACCAACAAGTTTCTCCGTGGTTCCCCTGAGGATCCCACCCAGAATGCGGAATTATTATATAAGTCACAATTGTCATTACACCATCGTCTATGATATTTCTTTTCAAATCTTCACATGAAGACATATTCCAAATGACGCCTGTCACTAATTCTTTGATCTCTGCCTCATTGGATCTCCGCAACAAATTTATTAACGAAGGTATACCACCAGCATTCTTGATTGCCCTTTTGTTCTCGTCATTTTGTCTTCCATATGATAAGTTCCTCAATGCTCCACAGGCATTTCTGTACACCTCTATACTGTCATGGCTCAACAATTTCACAAGAGGAGGAATCCCACCAAGAGCTCTCGTCTTTTGTTTATTGGGGTCATCCATATAACATAAGTGTTGTAAATATGCTGCTGCATTGGCTTTGATCACGTTGTTGGGATTATTCAGGAAGCCTATCACTTCGGTGAGATTGGGATCACGCCAACGCATCCCTCTTTGATCTTCTTCTCCACCAATACTACCAGGAGAAGCGATGTTATGTGCCCTCTCATGTGGCAAACCTACATTATGTCCGTGGAGAGACATTTTACTCATATGTTTTTGAAGATCTTCATCCTCAAACATCCTCATGGTTGCTCCAACTGGAACTGGTCCATTTATGCTATCTACATATGGTCGGGAAAGACTTGGAGCTGTACCATATGGGGAAGGGGAGACATAACCATACACTACTGCTGAATCATCTTGATAAGGATCCATTCCTATCGGGCCGCCAGGAGATGGAGTAACCCTATAATGCTCAGGCAGCTCGTCATAACCTGATCCCAAGTACGAAGGATTTGGTTGCGACGTAAGAGGAAGTGGTGAGGGGTCACCGCTGTGCTCACTTGGACTAGGAGGGGTGGGAGGTCTTTCGGCACCAGTAGAGTAACCCATATAGGCCCCATAGGGGTTCGGGTAATGGTCATAATCTTGATAGTGAGGGTGTTGATGATACTGAGAATACATGTGGTGAGGTTGTTCTATGTAATCAACGTATTGAGAAGGGTGGGAGTATGATCCCAAGGGTACAGGGATATACTCCCCTGACTGATCACCCAACTGCTGCACTTCTCTCACAACTTTGGTCACAGTTGTCACTTGCTGAGTGGTTTGTTGCTTCTGAGTCCGTACTAGCGGTTCATCACTATGAACGGACATATGGCTAGAATTCGGTGAATGTTCGGAGTGCCCATTGCTGTGTGGGTGATAAACACCTTCATTCAGAGAACTGGAAACATCTGGACCCCTGTGTCAACAAAATGTAAGTTAAAATTCCGAAAAATTGTATTCCATCACAAAACATCATTCATGCCAATTGAACTTACTTATAATGCTGCATATCTGGACCCTGTTCTTGTAATACTCTCCTAAAAATAATATAACATGAATATGGACACTAACTTTCGTCAATTTTCTCAAAATGATTCAAATTGGCAAAAATGAACGACTACCAAAATGATTCAAGGGTGCCTCATCTACTCAACAATCAAATCAAACTAATGTAGTATGGAATGTATGATGGATGGACAAAAAAAAAAAGAAACCTATGGGGCATTCAAAGCAATGTTGGAAATTTTAATGCTGAAGAAATAATAAAAATAAGAGTTGTTAATCCTAGCAATGGGTATGCATACACAAAAATGATGTTTATCCTACCTTTGGGTAATTTCTGTGTGTGTGATGCTGTGTTCTTGCCTCTGTTCCACCCTCCTATTCACCAAGCTGCCATTGCAAAAGCATAATATGTTTAGCCAAGCATCAACAATTGTGAAAACATGCAGACCAAGACTCACTAACCTTCAGGTTATAATTTTACCAATCAAAATTCAGATTTTGAATACATGTATAAATCTATTATATTTCAACGTAACACTGGTCTTCACAGAAGGTTAAAGAACAATACTGCAGTTTGTAAAATATTCTCACATTTCCAAAACTAGCTAAGAATCATTGAATAAAACACTGAAATTAAGTTATTTCACAAGTTACTTACACACAAGAGTCCAAAAGTTGACTAGCAGACATGTTTGAAGCTGTGTTATTATTTATTATCCCTGTGACATAACATGCAAACATTTATTAGTCATAAGCATGGAATGGACATTTCAAATGGAATTACATGCACACATTTCCAAAGCCATCAACTTAAGAGAATGCCACCATTTGAAGAAAGAAATTCCCAAAAAGTTACTTGCGATTGAAAACAATTGAAAGACAAATGAAAAGTTATGAATTTCCTCATCTGTGATTTGTCTTTGTCAACAGTGGTTACAAAATATCAACATTCAAAGAAATATACGTTCCTATAAGATCAACAGAAAACTCAAAACACGAACATCAAATATTAACGACGCTCCCAACGACAGTCCTTTGAAAACCCAAGCTTTGACCAGAGATGTCGCTTTCTTTCTCTCTGCAACTTTCATTGTAAGCAGCAATACTTTTAGTCTGTGATATTACCAAATGATTGATTGATTCAGACATAAATAAATTAACAAAGTTTTGAGAGGTAATGACTGACAAATTACTTTTATGAGCTGCATATCTGGACCCTGTTCTTGTAATACTCTCCTAAAAATAATATAACATGAATATGGACACTAACTTTCGTCAATTTTCTCAAAATGATTCAAATTGGCAAAAATGAACGACTACCAAAATGATTCAAGGGTGCCTCATCTACTCAACAATCAAATCAAACTAATGTAGTATGGAATGTATGATGGATGGACAAAAAAANAATTCCTAAACTCAGGTACATATTTAACATTAATCACTGGCTAGGTAAAACTCAGGTATTTCAAATCTTAAACCATAAAAACAAATAAAGCATTAAATATGTAGATTTTAGTTAGTAAATTCACGCCTGAAGAATCCATTGTATAGCGAAACACGTGTTGCGTTTTGTAAAACTGTTTGGTGACAATCTCATAAGTGTTTCTTGAGTCAATGACAACTATTCAAACATTGAAATGGGTTCAGTATATAAAACATTAATGAACTACACACACATGGTCAATTCGTGAAAACTGTATGAAAATCCGTTGGGTAGTTCCTGAGTTTATCGCATTCATAAAGACAGACAGACACGTCGGGGATCTTTAATTAATAGTATGGAGTAATTATACTCAGATTCAACGAATCGGTTAATAATTATATACTTCGAGGAAACTTTTTTTGAAAATTCAAAAGTGCGTAGATGTTGATAGTGATCAATATGTTTTCTACATTTTTGAAAGACAATTTTCCGCGAGCTATGAAAAGTATCCAGTACAATAGAAACGAAATTTGAAACTTATAGGACAACTGTCGAGAGATTACAACACTGAAGATATGTTTAACATCAGAAGCATACATAAAATTGTTAATGGTGCACTGTCATCAGATTCAAACAACTTACACATATCTCAATTAACGTTCGTTGACCGTTTCCACTACGAATCTCCAAAACGACCCTTGAACTCACCCTATTATTGATCTGCAAACACACAAGCACAAAAACACTATCAAATTTCAAACCTATGTTTGTTTTATAATCGTACTTTACAATACTTTTGAAACATTGACGAGGGAAAGCACACACTCTTAATCTTGAATCGAAAACACACACGCTGTAAAAAATAACCACAGACCGCACATTCTCGCCTTATTTGCTGAACTTATCAGAATTGCTTATCCACGGTTTATCTTATTTGCTTACTGTCATAAAAAGTTCGCTGTGACTCAATTAGATGTTTCACTTTTCTTTCCAACGGCGGTTATTATTAGATAAGAAAATTATCTCTGAAAATATTGACATGATTGATGGCAGGCATGATTGATTCATGGAAATAATTGAAATTATTCCTGTATTCACACCAACTTCAATTAGGAGTGACACAAAAAGTTGTAATGGATAATTTTATAAAATGAAGAAATTGAATACCATAATACTTCATTTCAATGAACAGATGACAGAATAGGCACTTTTTCCAAACACCAGAATTACAATACTCTTCTCAATGCACGTTCCACCAACCAAGTTGGCGTCTTCAAGAGATGAAGTATTTTTACTTGTTGTACGGTTACGGTTGTTGTTTTTGGCCAAACAATCACGTACAAGCAATAAAGAGTGAGCAGGAGCATTATACATTGTTTTTCCACAATAGCGGACGTTTTCTTCGTATTGCTTCTCGCAAGCGGCGTATAACTTCAAGATAATACTCCATATTGTGGCAAGAACTCCTGGTGCACTACGACACGGTAATCTAAGAAAATGGAGAGCAAAATCTTGACTTTTGATCGAACTTGGTGTCCTTTTTTTGGTGTTTGTTCCCCTGGGTTCTTCCACTGGGACGACTGGACTTTGGTTTCGATGTGGAACTGGTAACGTGGTTTGCAGAACGGGGACCACGTGGTTTGCAGAACGGGGTCCACGTGGTTTGCAGAACGGGGTCCACGTGGTTTGCAGGCCTGACCCTCAGTGAATAAACTCGATGTTACTCACTCCACAGTTCGCACCATATACCCATGTTTCGTCACCAGTTATGACCCTTTTAAGCAAATCTGGATCGTCGTTGACGTCATTCAACAATTTCTAAGCGATGCCCATGCAACGTTTTTTTTTGGTAAAAATTCAGCAATTTTGGAACGAACTTTGCGGCCACATGTTCATGCCCAAAATACCCGAAAAACTTCTATGGCAGGAACCAAACGATATGCCGACATCGTCAGCAATTTCTCGAATAGTGAGTCGGCTACTCTCCAGAATAATTTTCTTCACTTTCTCAACATTTTCATCGGTTGTTGATGTGCTGGGGCGCCCAGGGCAAGCATCGACATTCCCATATTCTCGACCTCCTGTGAAAAGCGTGTACCGCTCGTAAACATTGTTTTGGACTCAGAGTACAATCACCGTATGCCACTGTTCAACATTTCAAGTGTTTTTGAGCACTTAATTCCATTTTTTACACAAAATTTGATGCATTTTTTGTATTCATTTTTTCAATAGCGGAAAATCGCCAAACACACAAAACACTTCTAACTTTTATGCCTCTCACCAACAGCTGAACTGTGAACATATATTCGAGACGAGTGTACCAACATGAAACAATTTAAAAAACGCTAAAAGAATGTACTTAGCCCGCGAAATTTGAACATTCACCTTATTTTTGAACAGTCCACATATGTAACATTCTACCTCAAGAATGGATATTCAATTGAACTGAAAAACTTCAATGGCAATGATGTTTTACAACATAATTAAACGGTCATATATTTAAGTCTCTATTATGTTTATATTCAGCATGTTTATAATGTTTTTCTTTAATTTTATTAATTTCATAGGCAATCATCAAAAGTTAATGAAAGGTAGATTTAACCAACTACTTATCAGATAGAAAAGTCATTAAAAATTTCTGAAATGTTAAATCCTGGAAATAAAATAATTTCCTACTTTTCGAACGAGAAGAATTGAATTACAAATTGATTGCAGAAGCACATTCCAATTCCACATAAAGTTTACTCTTATTTAAGCATAGACTTTTCATTTGCGAAATCACATCAACAATAGCAACTGAAAACACAACATTTTTAATATATTTGTAAACCTCAAGAAACCAATAATATTCTGAAAGTAAAATACTTATTGATATGGCTTGCCTTGACTTCCATCTTAAAGCAAGACAAATTTGAATGAGCTAAACCTAAAACGGTAAAATTAAAATAGATCCATAATATGGGTATGGATTTGGAAAAAACAAGGCTAGAGTTGACTATCTATAATGGTTTATGATAAAACAATTTTTGAAAACGCATTAAAAATTATAAAAGTAATTAGGCACACCTGATGACCCACAATATCTTATACCTCACAATGGATAACAGGAATGGCTTTTTCAGGCACTCAAAAATCTAAGAGAAATAATCACGATATTTTTTACAAAAAGTACTAAAGTAATTGAAAGTGATATCCAAATTTGTTTTTCCGTACGTCACTAGAATCAACATGAATCTTCCATATAAGAGTATGGATATGGATTTGGATAACACATTGAATGATTTCTTGTAACGGGCAAATGATATGTTTTTAATATTCTCTCAAAAATGTTCATTTTTCCTTTATCCTATGACTAAAAGCACCATCTGCACAGACAGTTAGAGACAGTGGTAGAAGTCTTTTGGAGACTTGTTCACGAGGTCTTACCTTTCCACGTGCGATTCTCGGCACAGATCACAAAATACTCAGTGAATACACTCAGCAACCTATGTAACACACTCGGCTAGAGCATCATTGGCTCATACAAGTTTCACGTAGAGTCCCAGATCGAGGATCGAAACTGCATTGACAGTAACGAGTCGAATTCACTACTAATAGCTATATGTGACAAAAAGACTAGTGCTATTTATTACCGGAGGGACGAGTTTTGTAATAATTTCGAAAAACATTCAAAATAAGAGATACTTCCTCTGGTGTCGGTGTTGTAAACTAGAAACAAGTACATCTCGGTATATTATTTTTGTCGCTGTTATAATATCAATTCTTCAAGTGAATTGGTGAAGATTTGTCAATTCCTCTTTTTCTCAATTAAAATAAATATAGGCGATTCAGAATCAAGTTCAAACCATCAATGTCACTCAAAGTGAGTTGACGGCAAAAAGATCTCAATGAAGTGATATCAATTTTCATTATTTTTCACAAAAAAATGAAGTTAAAGTTATAATGGAATCTATTATAGGATTTATTATATTATATTATTATCTATTATTGACTATGTGGTCAACAAACAAGTTTCACTTTAGACAATTGTGCATTACTCTATGGATTACCCTATGATGGATGTAGCCGTTACTACATGGTGCGAAATCATAAAGAAGAAAAGAGAATTGAAACTTTCTATTTTTTTTACCACTAATGTAAAAATTTGAAAATGTCCTCATAGGACGAAACTGCAGTAACGTTAGTTACATATAAAAGTGGTAAAAAACATAAAAAGTTTCAATTCACATTTCCTCATCGTTACTCTATACTTAGTCACTCAAAATTCAATTATTTGCCAAAAAAAAAACCAATTTTGGTAGAAGTTTTAGTATAACAAGAACAAATTCAGAAATCATTAGCAAGTAGAAAAACAATACAAATCAACATAAAACATCTGAAAC